GCTGTCTGGGACCGGCACCTAGGCGCCCGCAGGCAGGGCCGCCCGGGGGGAGGCGGGGGGCAAGTGGGGCAATTTGCCCCGGGCTTCGCAGGGGCCCCCATGAGAGTTTTTGGCGGGTCTTCAGCAGCAGGTCCTTTGGTGCCACCAAACACACCCGGAGCGAGTGAAGGACCCGCTGCCGAAGACCTAGAGCTTCTTCCGCTCCGGGCCTTTGGCGGCAATTCGGCGGTGGTTCCTTCACTCGCTCCGGGACCCGCTGCCGAGGTGCCGGAGCGGAGGGACCCCCACAGCCGAAGACCCCAGGCCCCCTGAATCCGCTGGGTGGCCCTGCCTGCAGGGCCGCGCACGGGCCATTGCCTTGCCCCCACCTGGTAGTTCATGATGGCGCGTAGGCACATGATGCAGAGGTGGACGTCGTCCTTCTGGCTGATGATGCGCGAGTTCCGCAGTGCCTTCCTGCTGTGCACCGGGTTAAGTCTGGGCCAAAGGAAGAGAGTGGGTGAGCCCGGGAAAGACTCGGCAGGCGGCACAGCTACAGAAAGCACCGGCTGGGGGTCTGGCTGGCTCAGACTGGGAACGGGGTCCCCTCTGATCCGTCCCTGTCTGCAGCCCCAGACACCCCAGCCCGTGGGCTGTCTTGGCAGACAGGCCAAAGACTGAGTGGGCTGGGCTCTGCCTTGGGGCTGGCCGGGGAGAGCAAAGGGCGTTGGTGATCTCGGATGGCTGCGGGAGGCTCACCGGGGCGCATAGGAGTTCATAGGTGGCCTGGGTTTACTCTCCTGATCGCTCCAAGGGGCGCTGGAGGGAACGCTTGGGTGGACTTGTTGAAAGAATGTGTGGATCTGCTGGTTCAAGTGGCAGCACCTGAAGGAGGATTACAGCCTGCAGGACAGGAGGGAGAAACAGTACTAGATGGGGATGCACCCTCCATGGAGGCACATGGCGGAATGGAACGGCCGGGGCTTGGCGGCCTCTCCAGGGCACAGGCAGACGGCCAGGAGGCCTGAGTGCCCAGCACGCAGCAGTAGAGCAAGGCCAGGCCGTGCACTCAGCACCACGCTCTTCTTACAGGCCGCTAGAGGGCCCAGGGCCTGGATCTTCCTTTACTTTACCACCAGGCCCTGCCCATCACACCTCCAATCTTTGCATGCAGGGAACTTCCTTTGCCTTTCCATGGTCACATTTCAAAATATCCAGTCCCTAAAGAGGGTCCCTGCCTTGTCACTGCACCATCGGCTGCTCCCTCGCATCTCAACCCCTCAGAGCGGATGGCACATGCTGACAGCCCCGCACCCTGCAAGGGCACCGTCTCCAGGGGCACATGTACGGGCTTTAAGCCAGTAATTCTGGGTTGGGCTCCTGAGCAGTCACTGCAGGTAGCAGCCGGGTGAGCCGGGAACTCAGTAAGTCCCTATTGATTCTTAAGGGGTATTTCTGCTCTGGAAATCAGCTGGCAAAGTGCCCGGGGTGCCATGGCTATCGTCTCTCTGGTTTCCATGCCCAGCGTGCTGTGGTTAGGTGATTTCCTAGCTGCCAGCCTTGCAAACACGCCCGGGGATGGGAGGGGCGGGGTGGGGGGAGGCCAGGCTCTTTCCTCCTTGCACATCACCACGAGTGGCCACGGCTCCGCAGGCCAAAATTGGCCCTCGGCACCTCTTGTGCAGGCCTAGCGCTACCCAAAAGGGCAATTCTACGCATGCACAAAAGGCTCTTCCCCCTGGCTAGACAGGTCCCGCAGTGCTACTGGGGTCAGACTCTGGCTCTCCCCTGCCACCCATGGCTGGGCTGGCCCCACAGGGCCAACGGGATCAGACTCCGGCTTGCTGCCCGCGTGGCTCGGCTGGCCTCACAGGACCAGTGGGGTCAGACTCCGGCTCCCACCCCCACCCCCGTGACAGGGCTGGCCCCACAGAGATAACAGGAGTAACAGTAGGGCTGACTGCGCACATAGGGAGCGTGAAGCAGCACCATAGGACGACCTTACACATGACTAGAAACGGAACTGGGAAGCGATGCCGGAGCCTGACCCCAAGCACCAGGAACCCTGGGGCAGACGGCAGAGCCAAATCTCCACCATCCCCGAGAGCGAGCCCTGGTTACCTACCGTGAGACACGGCCCAAGGGAAGCGTGCAAAAGAAGCCTGTGGTTAGAACGTGGGAGGGGAACGGGCATGCACAGAGCCGCATGAGGTGAGCGGGCTTTGAACTAGAACTGTCTCCCGTCAATCTGGATCAGAACCAGGCCGATTCAGCCTGGGTGTGGGTGGGTCCAGCTCCTCAACGTCCACTTTTAACATTTCACCTTGTTTTCAGATCCACAAGATTTTGACCTATTGTCCTTTTAGGCCTCACAACCCTACCCTGTGCTAGCATCCTGATGGGGAAACTGAGGCACAGGAGGGGACATGGTGAGTCAGGAGCAGAGTCGGGGAGGAGGGATGTTTTAGTGGTCAGGGGACTAGGTTCAATTCCCTGCTCTGCTACAGACCTTCTGTGTGACCTTGGGCAAATCGCTTAGTCTCGCTGTGCCTGAGCTGGGTGAAATGGGGACAATGCACTTCCCGACCACCTGGGGGTGCTGAGGAGAAACATGTTAGAAGAGGCCACTGGGAACAGATAAGTAGTTACGAGAATTTCTCAGGGACAGAACCTGGATTCCTGGCGCTAGGTCCCCTGCGTTAGACAGCTCGTGCTTCCTGGGGCCGGGGCTGGGGGTGTAATTCAGGTACAGTTGTTCTCTGGGTCACCAAGCTCCATGTTTATCAGTTTAGGGGGCAGTTATTAGAGACCCCCCCCCCAGATTATCATTTACACACACTTGGCCTTCTGGCCAACATCAGATCAGTGCAGTTTCTGGTGGTCCTCTAGTGGCTATAGCCCTGACCCTGCTGTGCAAGCGTCACTCAGCCACAGCCAACACTCAGAACTCGAGGAATGGTGCTGGACAGTTATTTCTGGGTGGTGGTGGTTTTTCTTAAACTTATTTTTATTTTAATTGTGAAAAATTTCAACTGGCTCCATTATTCCCTGACCCTCACAAGCCATTAGCCTCAGTAACATCCTGCAGCATGGAGTGCCCCGAGTTAAATATGTGGTATGCAAACAAGGAAAGGTGGTGGGGAGAGGGGCGGGGTCCTCAGCCCAGCAACTCCAGGCTGTACTGACTCCAGATGGGCAGCGTGTCAGCGCCCAAGCAAGTGAGACAAAGCTGTGTGTGTCAAGAGTTGTCAGAGGCCACAGTGCAACGGTGCCACGGGCGCTCCCACGAGGGGGCTGATGTTCTGTTGGGTGCAGAGATGTAATTCTTCCCCAGTGGGAGCTGGGCGCCTCCCTCCTGGCCCAGGGCAGAATCAGGCCCACGAGCTGCAGCCTGTTTGCTTGGCCAGAAGAACTCCCTGGCAATGGCCTCTCCTCCAGTATCTCTGAGCAGGGCCGGAGCTGACGGGCTCCAGCATGGGGTGTCCCAGGCTGGCTGCGTGTGTTACCTGATAGTCAGGTTCCTCGTTTTGGAGGAGCCCTGTGTGGGGGACGAGGAGTTGCTCTTGCTGAGGTCCTCCATGGATCTGTCCGGGGACTTGCCCTTGTCAGAGCCCGGGCTCCCGTTATCTGCGCTCTCCATATTGTACCTGAAGCCACACACGTGAAGACAGACGTGTGAGTCAGCAGAATAGAGTGAGGCCTCGTATGAGGCAGCAGGATCCCGGCCAGTGGTGGGGGAAGGGCAGACCCAGTGACAGAGCACAGTGAGAGGAGGTCCCCCACATAGGTATCTCGCGGCTCCTCGGCAGAGGCCCCCACCACTCGAGCCCAGGGGCGGGATGAGACTGCCCAGCCCTCACTCCTCTGGGACTGCAGAGACTGGCCCACACCAGCTTGCCCCCCTCAGCCCCACGTTACCACTCAGCCGGCCAGAGCCACACTTAGCCGCACACGCCTCAGGGCAGGTACTGCTGCCACCACAGCCCTGCATGGCCCCACAAATGTCCCCAGGGACCAGCAATGCCACCACGGATGGTTATGCCTAGAAAGTGCAAACAGACCATGTGGGCACAGGGCTCCGAGCTCAGGGAGTTTAACCATCCGGCCCAGGTGAGTTGTTAATGGCACAGCCCCCGGCCCTGGGCGCCAGGGGCCAGCCCTGAGGCAGCAGGTTGAGGGAGTGGAGACGGACGGGCTTTTAGGGAGATCTCTGCAAGCTGCAGAAATTTCAGCACCCAGGACAGGGACAGACAAGGGGATGGGGAGGGGAACCGCGAGGCGGGGTTTTCATCGATTTTAAGGCCAGATAAAATCATCGATGTCTGTCCTCCCGCCTAGCACAGGGGTGCCAGCACATCTGAGCTAGAGCATCTTTCTCAGCCTTTGCCGGTTGGCAACCCCGTCTCTGAAGCCAAAATCTGTGCAGCCCCCCTCAGCGTGTACCATAGAACGGTCTCAGTGCCACCCATGCATCTCGGTGCTGTCTAGCCCTGCGGCTCCGTGAGCTGGGCATGTCCCCAGAGGCGGGCACGGCACACTGGACCCTGAAGGGGAGGGGGATGAGACTTTGCTTTAGATACCAAGGTGCCTGGCCACCCCCAATGGCCTGGCAAAATGCCAGGCTTGAGCAGAGCTGTCAGGAGACGGACGGTCTGGATTGAAACACTCCCAGGGATGGAGAATTTACCCTGTCCCTAGGGAGGCTGTTCCACTGATTAATCACCCTCCCTGTGAGCAACTGGCACCTCCTTTCTAGTCGGAGTTTGTCTGGCTTCAGCTCCCGGCCTTGGGTCTCACTCTGCCTGGCTGCTCAGTCCAAGACTCCTCTGCTCTCAGAAACCTGCTCCTGGGCAAAAGGAGCCGAGGGCGCCCCGCTCCCACACCCCAGACCCCGCTGGCCTCCCAAGGAGAGCTGGGGCCCCAGCCCTGATGTCACACGGGCCAGGCTCGTGTGGCCCCTCCCCTCCCATGCACAGTCCCATGCTGTCGTGTGCGTGGGAAAGTTGCTTCAGGGAAGGGCACGTGGAGATCAAGCCTCTTTTAATGAAACGCGACAGGCTGGAGCCACCAGCACCAGGTGAGCAGCCAGCCCCCTGTGGGCCCCAGTCTGGCACCTGTGGTCTAGGCCAGTGCGCTGCCCCACACTTGGGAGCTGCCCGTGGCGGGGCGCTATTGCGCTAGGGGCTGGCACGCCTTGCTGCCAGAGGCCACAGACTGGGGCACTAGCGGAAGGCCCCATGGCTTAGACGTGGGCTGCCCCACACTGTGGATCTTGGCCCTGCCCTCCCGGGAAGCTGCTTCCAGGGACTCGTTCCCAACGAGCTGTAAAGAAAGCGAAGGGGCCGCCTGCCCCCGCTCACAAGCTGCTAGTGAGGGACGCAGAGGCAGTCTAGCCAAGTGGCCGAAGTTCAGAGCCAGGGCTCCCATGAGCATGGCACTCAGGCAGGGCTCCCACGTTAGGCCTGAAGTCAGAGGCCCGACTCGCGTGCTTACAGCTTGGCACTGCGGCGCTGGTCTGACGCGGGGCCGACGCTAGCGGAGGAAACGGCACCCGTCCCAGCGCCCTGCCCTCCCCTCCCCGGCGGGGGCAAAGGGCTCAGCAGCAACTTACGTGACGGCGCACTGGGCGAAGGCGAGGTATTCCAGCAGCACGTCCAGCCCCTTGTTCTCCTCGTTCAGGAACTCCTGCACCCAGCTGGGGGAGAGGAGGTGCGTTAGCCAGGGAGATCAGGCAGGGATGGCCGAGCTGCACCCCCATCCTCACGCCCAGCCCTGTGGCTACCCCTGCTCAGACTGAACCCAGCTGTAACGGGGAGCCCAGGGCCAGCTCACCCAGCACTGCTCTGCACGAACCAGTGGGCAGTGGCAGGGTGAGCTGGAAGCACGCTGGCTCTGCCCCCCTCACACACTAGCCACAGACCTGGGATTAAGTAATCTGCTGTCTTCCTAGAGCTGTGGGGAAGGGCAGGGCTGTGTCTCCCCCCATCCCAGCTCTCTCCCCACTGGCCTAGGGCCCCCACGCTCGGGGCGGACAGCAGAGTTAGGACGCAGCCCTTTGAGGATATGGGTGGTGTCGAGTCAGCCTGGCCCAGTCGGATGCATGGCCAGGCTTCACAGGAGTAGAAAGGTTCACTTTCCATCAGGGCCCTGCTGCATGGCTGCGTCCCCCAGGGGCAGCCAGCAGTCCCTCTTCTTGCTTCCCCCACCGCACGGTGATTCACAGGTTCCCTGCTCCAGGGGGAGCCTTTTACTCTTTTCCTGAGAGCTCAAGTCCCTCCGTCCTGGCCCCGAAAGTCTCAGAGCTCCCCCCCGAGACTGAGCCATAGGTCAGGCATGCCAGCACTGCCACCCCATCTCGCAGGCCAGGGATGGCAGCTCGGAGATGTGCAGGGACTCGCCCAAGGCCAGGCAGGGAGTCTGTGGCAAGGCTGGGAATTGCCCCCAGGTTTCCTAAGTCTCAGAGCCCAATGCCTGAACCCCCAGACCCGCCTTCCTGCTCTCCCAGAAACCCCTCCGCTTGTCTCCTGTTTGGCTGCCGTCACCCGCACCCCATCCACGCTCCTCTGCCCATGCCGCGGATAGAAGGCAGGCACCTGCTCTCAACAGGACCCGCCCAAACTGCCTCCATCGCTCTGAGCCATGACTGGCTTTGGGCCAGGCCCCAGATGGCACGGGACAGCCCCAGTCCCACGATCAGGGAAGGGCACTGCCCATCTGCTTTTGCTCCATGCTCAGACGACAGTATGGACGTTTCAGATCAGTGCTGGGTCCCATTCGCCAGAGCACTACCCAGTGGGTGTGCCCCACAGCACGGGGGTAGATTTAGCATTAGACATACTCCAGGTCACCCTGGCAGCGCAGACACTGGGCCGGCCAGGCCTCAGTGCCCATTCCCACCCAGCCTGGGTCTGATCCCGAGAGCCTGTCACACGCTGCACTCCAGGTACCTTCAGAGAGGCTTCTGCACAAAGCATGGGGCCACAGAAGTGCCAATGTGGACACAGGAACAAAGGGATATAAACTGCCCATCAACAAGGTTAGGTTTGAAATTCGGCAACGCTTTCTAACCATCAGAGGAGTGAAGGTCCCATCTCCACCCAGACTTGCACCTGTTCTGGATCTTCCATGAGCCAGATGGGGCTGGTAGACAGCCAGGGGCCCACGAAAGCCTCATCACCAAAGTCATGAGATTTTCACAGTGGGATGGTAGCACTGAGGCAAACTCAGTGGGGCCGTCCCTAATTCCCCACAGTGCTCATCCTCCCCAGACACGGCATGACCATTATGGCATCTGAAAGCCAAGCAGAGGAGAGCAGCAGATGGCGCATGGCAGGAATGCATCACTGAGTGACGGGTCTTGAACCAGGGACCTTTGTACTCAAAAACACAGCAGCTCTGCTGCTGGAGTCAAAGCAGACCTCCGGCTAGCATTGATAGCAGCCCCTCCTCCTTGCAGGCCTGCAGTGATTAGCAGGCAAGAGTGTAACCCCCCTTGTTGGCACAGCCGCCAAGTACAGCGCAGACCTGCAGCCCCCAAAGCACAAGCCCTAACACTTGCAGGGTGGGAGTGGCCACTAGAGGGAGACAGTCACCTGCACTAACCCTGGACATTAGCACGTGATCCATAGATACTCACCGGATATAGTTGGTCCTCAGCGAGATCTCCAGCTCTCGGAGCACCTGTGTGGACTCCTGCACTCGCCTCTTAAACTGCGTTTCAAAAAGCAAAGGGGTGTTAGACAGATCTGCACCATCACTGGTCAGGTTGCAGCCTCATTTCTCTTTTACCACCTGTGTTAACTCCAGAGAACCTCTAGAGCAGCGATTCCCAGCGTTACTGGTCCACGTATCTCCCCTCATGCCAGCATCTCCTTTCTGTGCACACTTCTTTTAGGCCTTAACAGACATTTTTTGACTAAATGGTTTTTCATCAGAAAATGCCGATCTGTTAAATCCAAAACTTTTCGCAGGAACGTCTCAGTTTCCATTAAACTTTTGTAAGGAAGGGTCCTCAGGCCCAGGATGGAATTTCGAGTCAAAATGAGAGAGACGCAGCCCCAGTCCAGAACCGCCTGACTCAGAACAGGCCCTGGGACCTGGGGCTGTCACATCCCGCGGAGTGCCCTGACCTCAGGCTACTGGCTATTCTGGGATGGATTGGGGGGGGGTGTCTCTCTGAGGTTTTTCCACACCAAAAACTTCAAAAAGTCGCAGTTTCATCTCGATGCAGAACAGGAATGTTCTTGAAATCAGGAAAAGTTTTGTGACCTGAGATTCCCGTTTCCCACCGGCTGTAATGAGGTTAGACTGCGGGGAGAGGCGGTGGTGGGGTGTGAGGGAGTGGGCGTGTAAAAGGGCAGGGAGGGCTCAGAAGGGAGGGATAGGGAGCTGGAAATGTGGGGGCCTCATCTGGCATCAGGCAGCTCCAGCTCCGATTCGTCCTCATTCCAGGGCTCCCTTCCCATTTCCTCTGAGCCAGGCAGCTCTGCCAGCCCCTGCCCTCTCTGGAGCGTCTTTCCCACGGGTCTCCCTCTGGCCTGGTCTCTGGACTAAACGCCTTCCTCGCAGCCAAGGGATTCCACAGCCTTTCTCCTAAGGGCTCTGCTGTGACTTAGGCAGGCTCCCCAGCCCACAGTCTCTCTTCTGGGTCCCAGCCCAGGGAACCTCTCTCCTGGACTGCTGCTCCCCTGTAATTCTGCTCTCCCTCTCCCCCTGGGAGCCAGCCAGCCAGGAGGTAGGCACCTGATGGACACCTAACCCAACCTCCAGCTAGTGTGCTGCGCCCTGCAATACCGGTGTCCTTGCAGGGCTCATGGCATGGAAAGAGGTTGTCTGGTCCAGGCTCCCCTCCCCCTTACAGAGGACAGACCACCCTGCTACCGGACCCCACTTCCAACAGCTCCTGTGCCCCTGGGGTGCACGTACCCCAGTTCGGGGACCTCAGCTCTCAACTGCGGTACAAAAGCTAAGGGGAAGCAAAGGAGAGGGGAGAATAAAAGGGGGAGGATAATACCGCCATGGCAATCAGCCAATCGGAGGTCACCTTTCTGCTGACTCCGCCCGTATCCAAGTAGCTCTTCAGTTTCTGGATGTACGCAGAGGGGGGGTTCTTGACCTGGAATCGTTCCTGCGAGGAGGGAGGGAAAGGGAGACATTCGGGCCCAGCTTCCGCAGACGATGGAGGAGAATACAGCCCCGAGCACTGATGCAATGTGTGCACACCCGGGCGAGCACCCACAAGTGAGCGGGACGCTGAGGAGACTGCAGGGGTCTGAGATGTGCATGAGAAACAGCTGCATAGGGCAGGGAGAGAGACTCGCTCTCTGGAAGCGACCCGCTGCCCAGGTCGCCTGCCCCCGGGAACTAGTCGGAGGGGAATTGGAGAAAGGACGTTTGCCAGGATCCGGTAGGATTTCGATGCTGAGTGGGAGTGAGTGAACTGGCCTGGCTCAGAACTCACAGCCAGCCCTCTTCTTTAGGGCACGGAACTACGCTAGGCCACCGTGCCAGGCTCAGACAGACACCGCTCCTCACGCAGTGCTGTGCTGCACACACTGGGCATGGGGGCGGGGGAGTGCCACAGGGACCCTCCCCAGCTCGGGAGCTACATTGGTGAAGACAGAATACCTGTGATAGCCCTGCAGTCCCCTGCCCCAGACCACACCAGTCCGGTCTCCTGTCTCGCCACCTCCAACTGTCAGTCCTGCCCAGCCAAGGATGAGCAGCGCCCAGAGCTGGGTGCTCTGTAAACCCCGCCGGCCACACCTGTCATAGTACGCCCCACCTTCCTATTCCCCTCCAACCCAGGGTCTCAAAGCTCTTTACACGCACTCGCCCATTACGCTGCACAAGCCCTGACCATGAGCTAGGTGAATATTATCTCTATTTTACAAAGTAGAGAAATGAAAGGACTTGCCGAAGGACAGGTTTGTGGCAGAGGTGGGATTAGAACCCATATCTCCTGATGTCCAATCCTGTGCATAACCACAGACCAGCTTCCTCATCCCATGATATAGCACCAGGCTGCCTTCCTCTCCCACATGGCCCAGCGCTGCGCCTTCCTCCTCCCCCGGGCACAGCGCTGGACCTGCCTCCCTCCCCACCCACACACCCCGGGCACAGCACTGGGCCTGCCTCCCCTCCCTCCCACACACACCCCGGGCACAGCGCTGGGCCTGCCTCCCCTCCCCCTGCCCCCGGGCACAGCGCTGGGCCTGCCTCCCCTCCCCCT